CTCAACATGAATCAAGCTTCACATCAATCTCCAGCACTTCATGATCTGTATGTAACAAAATTATTTCTTATACTACGGTATGTAACATCAACTACATATCTTATACATCCTTTTATCACACGTATATATCATATATATACACATCATATATTCTTGTTATATATATATGTGTATGTGCGTGTAAGCATGCTAAGTACATGCATAAAAGTAATATAAACTGAATCAACTTTTGTTCTCACTTTTACTATTCCCATTTTTAGTGACCATGTATTGTTATATGGTGAGCTTTTAAGGGTAAAATGAGTTATTTCCATAAGCAACATCATTATATTCTTTAAGAGTATGTCACTAGGATTGGTACTTATAAGATTCTTAATGTTCATAATGTCATAGTGGTTATATGTTCTCTTTAATTGAAACAAAATTTAGAGAGATTGATGAATTACCCTTTTTTTGTAACACCCAACCTTTCTTTTTTTTATTAATTATTATTATTTTTTTATATATAAATATAATTATTATTTATATGATTTTAAATTAATTTATTTAATTTTAATTTGATTTAATGGAAATAATAATAATAATAATAATAATAAAGGTAAAAAAAATAGGTTAGGGATTTAATTGAAAACAATTTTGGAGAAAAATGGTGAAAATTTGGGTTCTTAAGGTGTTTTTGAAACAAAAATCAGAAATCGGGGGGTCAAAACGTAATTTAAAAAAGTTATACCATATCAGCTGTCCGGTTAGCAGCCCCGACCAACCAGGACACGCCAGGTGGAAGAGAGGCTGACGCAAGAGGCCACGCGAGTGGAGGAGCCACGTGGGCGATCCGCGTGAGCGCGATCGAACGGCTGAGATCCGTTCCCATGCGCACGGACGACCCAGATTGCATCGCGCACGGACGGCCCAGATTGAATCGCGCACGAACGACCCGGATTGAATCGCGATGAACGACCTAGATTCACTCCCTATTTAATCGCAATCGGACGGTCCAGATTAAAAGTGATGGACGGTCCAAATTAAAAGCGATGAACGGCCTAGATAAAAAGCGGATGGGTATAAATAACCCCATCCGTACCCTAACCCTAACCCTAGCCGCCAGAGCCCCTCACTGGAGAAGACAGCCCAGCTGCCGGAGAGCCGACTGTCGCCACCCGCCGCCGTACCGGAGCAATTTTCGACCGCCAAACGAGGTAAAAAAATTTTCTCTTGCATGAAATTCAATTTTAAATGCAACCATGACCAAATCGGAGTGAAAGAACTGGCCGATTGGCCGGAAAACGCTGTTGAAGCTCAGCGGCGCCGCCACAGGGTGTTTCGATTTTTGCCTCCGATGAGGCTCTTTTCGATTCTCGTTCGATGTGATTTTTCTACCGTTGTGACTACCGTTTCCTTCTCTACAGGTTGACCGAAGCAAAACACCCAACCGCAATGTGAGCCAGAGGAGCCGCCGCACTGGAGAGCCCCACCGCTGATGAGTTTCGATTTTCTGTATTTTTTCAGCCCACCGAGGGCCTTAAGTATGTTTTCTCGCAGGAACCGGTGCAAGTTCAGTTGAATTTGGCAGAAAACGGTCGAAAACAGCTAACCCGAGGCGGATCGCTGCCGCGGGCGGCGGGGCTGTCACCGGAGTACGGCGGAGCCACCGTGCCGAAATTCTGAAATTGGTCTAGTGGGCCCTGGGTCTGATTTTTGGGTTTGTTTGGGACACCTGTAGGTACCGTAAGCGCGTTTCAATTCTCGAAAAATAATTTAGAAACCCAGGGGTCGCCCGTAGCACAGTAACTATCTAATTTTGGCGTCGAATCAAGTAAGGAGCTCTTACTCTATTTCCTATCATAGATGTGAAGTTTGATAATAATGATACGATCTTTTATACCAGTTAGATAGATATGCATAATTAATTACAGATTACTAATGAGCCCGAAATCGAACATTGTCTC